GTGCCAGAAGCACTGGGAGGCGCATCTCCCTGAGTTTGTGTGCATCGAATCGGGTTCTCTCAGCCCAGAATCGGCTCCTCCGGGGAATATAAGTCCATTAGCTGTTTAATAAAGCTTTGTTGATATTCCACAGCTTTCTGTTTGCTTTGCACACAGAGCATTTCTTTGAAACCCAAACAGCCTGCAGTGAGGTGCAGAAAGATATTAAGGTGGAAGTGTCGGTGCGGGGGCGTTGTTTTGGGATGGTGGGGCAAGGGTGGGAGATCAGAAATGGCAGTGGTGAGAAAGAGTTGAGAAGAGGAAAGATGGGGAAGCTGTCGTGCCCCCCAGACTTTCCTGAGGGAGGACACTGGCACTGCTACTTTGGTACATATGGATTCCCACAGCCCCGGAGACTCCCGTAACTACACATGTAAGTACAAACACACTTCATAAAGTGCAGCGTAACTGAGTTTGCATCAGCCGCTGCTTTGGATTTTCCGTACCTCTTTTTTATCTTCTTCGTTCAGGACAACCAGGAATGGACATTATTTGGTTTGGCCGGCACCAGCATTTTTTAAAAGCCGTAGTTCTGTGTTATATGTCATTGCAAAGTGTTCATTGTACTTGAGGGATGCTGCAGACGCCCGTCAGCTCAATGGAGAGAATGTGCATCTTTCCTATCTGCTTCTCTTTGCTTCGAGGACCCAGCAGTGCTACTCTTCAGCAATATTCTCTTCCCAATAAGAGCTCACATCCAATCTGAATGCTAAATAATGTTGTCACGAGGTTGCATGGGCACTGGTTAAGATCTATGCCCAAACTATAATGAATCTCTCTTCTACATAACCGTGACTGTGGCCAAAATTGGTGAACAGCCCATCCTCAGGGGAGCAGTGGGAGGAGACCGGAATATTGTGTTGGATTCTGTCCTGGATATATCTTCGGCTAGACTCCTGGAGCAGTTTAAATCAAGAGCCGGGCTGAGCAGGCCTGAATGGCTTTCCAGTGACAGATTTATGGAGGGAGGCCTAATTAGATCATGGTAATTTGTAGTATGACAGTATCTTTTGCTCAAGATCTCAAAGCAAATTTCTGCCTTGATAGGCGGGCCAAACAAAGACCCACGAATGTCAAGGGGTAGCTTCGATTTCACAAAATAAATCCTCGGGCAGCCCAAAATAACAGTCACACCTTGTATTTGGAAAACATTCTATCATTCTGCTACACATTCACATAATTTTGTGAATTATGTGAACGTCTCACTTGAACGTCACAAAATCCTATGGTAGAGGTAGGAAAGGTGGCCAGTACTCTCTTGATTTTAGAGAGGGAAATATAGAGGTATTGCCTGGTGGAGAGACCCGCCCAAGGTCATAGAGTCGGTCCTGGGGTTGACATTGACGTAGCTCATACGGGTGGGCGGAGTTTCTGGAGAAAAGAAGTGCTGTGACTCTAAGCAGTCAGGGCAGACGGAAAGCTCAGGATGCTGAGATTCTGCTTCTGAGGACGTGGCAGAAAGGAGCATGGCCGAGGAATACGAGCCACAGAGAAGCCGGAGTGGGGACCAGACGCAGGAGGACTGGAGATTCAACCACGTCAAAGGCTTCGAATGGACCACAAACCCCAGCGTCAGGAGTATGTGAAAACCTTGAGTTTGCACATCATGGTGTCACTTTGGCAAAAAATACTATTGTGTGTACTTGGCCGTGAGGGGACTGTGGTGGCACCTCAGTCATTCCTTAGCTTCTGACAGAGGCTAAGAAATACCGGACGGTGGGAATGCTGGACGGAGGTCCTGAGTGCTCTCCCCAGGGTCTCTCCATCCTAGGATCACAGAGAGTTGCCTGACCTGCCCGATGAGATTGTCCGTTCCAGTGAAAAATCATCTGTTTAATTCATTGCAAATCTACTTCCTGGACCACCCTATCATTGCAGTTAAGGTCGTGAACGGCTTTTGCCTTCAAGCAATTTACCTTCCAGGAAGAGGGCTGATAGCAAACCTATAACAACAAAAAAAGCTTCTCTTGATCCCTTGTGTCTTTGCTAATTGTCATGGGCATCATTTGGTTCTTTAAAAGGGACAGACTGAGCCTTATTCTTTGGTTTCCCCAGCAGGACTCTGTACAGAGCTGAAGCTCATAAAAACTTGCTTCCATCCAAATGAGATTTTCCTTTTCATTGTTGGTTTCTTGAGAACTCTTACTGCCTTCATAGAAAACTGACGTACACTGCTTGTTTGGGTATTTGCTTATTTTTCTTTTCTTTCTCTCCCTCCCTCTCTCTGTCTACCTCTGTCCCTCTTGCTTCCCCTCTGTCTCTGTTTCTGTCTCTCTCTCTCTCTCTCAATAGGAATACTTTGCCCTGTTGGAGAAGGAGCCAAAACCCACTACGAAAAGACCCATCATGATTAAATACAAACGGCAAAGGCATTTCAGTCTCTAATTCTTGAATGTCCCCAGCATGGTCGAGACAACTTGAAATACATTTGTACACATTTAGCAAATCCAAATACATTCATTCCTAGGGAATGAACAAGAAATGAACAAGTCTCCCACTCTCAGTGAGGTCACATCATGGGCCCTCCATGGGTCCGCCATGAGGCTTGTTCTGCCTCCTTCTTAGGATTAAACCCGAGTGGGAAGATGATGGGTGGGAGGCAGCTTCGGGGACCCACAGAATCCTGAGACAGTCTCCCCTGACTGTTCAGGCACATGGATTATGACAAAATTCACAAAATGTGGACTTGGCAGAATTTCCCAGAGCAGGAGGGGAAGGTGATAGCCTTCTCCCAAGTCAGAGGAGGCATGGATATTGCATAAATCACAACAAATATGGGATACGTCCTGCAAATGATATGAAAAATTCAATACACAGAAAAGTGAAGACAGGGCTTCTCAAATGACAGAGCCATGGAGAGGGTGAAGGGGGAGGAAGCGAGGGGAGGGGGCGAGGCTGTGGGGAGTGTGAGGGGGGCAGAGCGCTAAATTTGTGCAAAGAAAAACACTGAGGCTGTGCATAGGCTGAGGGATGACATGTTTCCCTGGTCCAGATGGCAGTTGTTTTAGAGGTTTACTTTCATTTTCTGACTGAACAGACTTTGCTCAGATACTGTGGTTCACGTTAGAACTTAGGGCTCGGGCTCCTGTCTTCTCGCCGATGCGGGCTGACGCTGCTGTCCAGGTGAGCGGGGTTCAGGGTCTCAGGGAGCAGCGGCAGCTGTGCCTCTGGGGACATGCAGGGGAGAGGACTCCTGGCGGCCAGTCCCACCACTCCATGACATGGAAGAACCTTGGCTGCCATGTGCATTCTCTTTGTGATTTGGAAGACAAATACCCTCACTGAGTTGTCTATGAACAGGTGCTGCAGATGGCCAGACCCTTGTTCTTACGGGCTGTGCTGGAAGCAAGGGGGGCTGTTTTACTCTCCTTCAGTTCTGTTACATTGCGAGTGAAGGGTGGGTTCTCGGAAGCTGAATTATGTGGATGCTCAGGAATTCTAAGGGGAGTGTGGGTAGGGGTGTAGCGTGCCGTGTTAGGTCTCCCTGTCAGCAGATAACATTTTGCAGAGAGCTGCTCCTGGGGTAAAGTCATTGTGCAGCTTGGAGGTGTGACACGATTCCTCTTGCTATAAGGAAATCCCAAGCCGTCGGGAGTTCCTCTGTCTCCATTCTCATCTTGATATTGGAAGCTGAGGGGTTTCTTTCTAAGATCAAAGGACTTCAGGGAAAGCAAAAAAATAAATAAATAAATAAAAAGGGAGGACACAAAAATTACCTTCCAGAGTGTTTTGCTTTTCTTGAGGTTTCTAGATAATGATGGATGCTTAATTCCTTTGTTTGGAGATGTCAGCCTGTGGATCACGGGCAAAGCTCCCTTTTGGTTTTCGTTGTCACTGGTGTCTATTTATAGTCACGGCCAAATGTGACCTCACCCTCCAGGTTCTGCAAGTTCAGCAAAGTGAGGCCAGGTTAGCCTGGCCGCAGGTCTCTGAGGAGCACCCCAGATGCTGCAGTGCGTCTGGTCAGCAATGCCACGGTGTTTCTCGCTCAGCTCCTCCTCAAATGCCTTTCAGCTCAGCACATCGGAGAGCAAGGTGATTGGAGGAGGCATCTTTGAAATCAGAAATGAAATGGAAGTCCCTGACTACGTGCAAGAGTTGCTGAATTTTCTTTCTTTTCCTTTTTCTCCTTCCATTCCCCCCTCTTTCTTTCTTCAGTCTTCTGCTTGTCTTTTTTTTTCCTTTTCATTTGTTTTTAAGAATAGGATGGAGAAAGGAAAAGATGCTAAAACAATAAAGATTTGAATCAGTCCGTAATGGAAGAGTCCCCATGAGGCCAGACCATCAAGAGTTTCCAGGCATTTGAACCGTGATCCTTTCGCATAAATATTTAAATATAGAGAGCGAGGCAGAATCCCCACCTGGGGAAATGACGGCTCTTGTCTTGGGAGGAGCCGTAGTGATAGTAAACTCTACCGAAGGTCACAGGCATTTCCTGGTACCCTTTGATCATCCAACCATTATTCATTGTGTGCCGCCCATGAACTTTCAGCCTCATTGGAAGTCACCTCCTATCCATTTTCCTGGAGTTTTTCACCCTCAGTTTGAGAAAAGACTGACTTAGTGATCAAGCAAAAGCTTTACCTTTGAAGAGAAGCTCTATTTCTATGACATGGTCTACTTTATTTGTTTTAATTTTATTTTAATCATTGTTCAAGTACATTTGTCTGTCCTTTACTCCCATTCCAGCCCACCCACCCAGCCCTCCCCACCTCCCTCCCATTTCCACCCCACCCTAGTTTTTGTCCATGTGTCCTTTATATTTGTTCCTGTAAACCCTTCCCATTCTCCCCTGAAGTTCCCTCCCCTCTCCCCTCTGGTCACTGTCAGCCTGTCCTCTATTTCAGTGTCTTTGACTATATTTTGCTTGTTTCTTTGTTTTGTTGTTTAGGTTCCTGTTGTGGTCTACTTTGTTGATATCAACAAAAACATTTTCCCCTCCGGATCCAAGAGTCTTTACTAAGCTCCTGCTGGCTTCCGTGACCCCACCCTTCATATTTCATCCAATACAGGTGTGAGAGGGCGCATGGCTGAAATAGTGCATCTTCAAGCCTACAAAGTCAGAGGAGTATGTTCATTTGGTTAGTTCAGTTAAAAAATCCCTTGAGCCAATTGTAAAGAAATGTGACTGTTCAGTCCAGAGCTGCTGCTGTTGGACAGACGTGGATGCGGCCAGGCTGGATGACACTGCGTGAGGCCCGGCCCAGACTGATTTGCATAGACGTGGTCTCTGGCCATCAATGGACTGACACGGACTGAAATGCAGGGCGCTCAGAGAACCCCAAGGAACTTAGGCAACAACACCGTAGTAATGAAGAGAGTTCTGCAGTACCCGAAGGAAAGCGGTCTTATACCTGGGGACAGCACCCACGTTCTGCCTCCAACTCCTAGCAGGTAAAGCCACATTTAAACCGTGTTTGTGCCATAATGAAGACATACTCTATAATGAAAGCTACCTTGATCTTTTTGGTGTGTGTTTAAACTTTAGTTTTTTCTAAGATGAAAAGTAACCCGAAACGAGGATGAACAAAATCAAGGCATCGACATGGGCAGCAAGAGAAGAGCGACACAAATGTTCTTCTCTCTCTACTGGCCCCGTAAGCAAAAATCCCAAGCAGCTTCTTTGATTTCATTTTTGGTAATTGCAATGGAAAATTGCATCTGGGCTGACAATGTGCATCCCGTGCTTCAGCCCAGTGTGCTCACAAATTGCCAAGTTATAGCACGCCCCCAGCAGAAACGATAGAGGGTTCTCACAGAAATACTGGCAAACCTTTAAGAGCAGTGGCATTTACTGACACTATACCCTAGAAAAAAGAGAAATGAATGGTAAACTGTACATCAGGGTGGTCATCAATGTCCACCGAGCCCTGATTTTCCTTCTCACCCCCTTCAAATAATTTGGCTTTCCAAAATGCATCTGCTGATGTCTTTTTTTGTGGATACAAAAATTATGCAGTATCTAGTTGGAATTCTACCTTCTCTCCCTTTCTCCCTACCTCCTGGACTCTTGTTCATTTTGAGATAAATCTGGATATTTAGAAGCAGTGGGGAAAGTATCAGAGACAAATCTCATTCACCTAGGTGGGGAAAGAATCTTTTTTTTAGAGCCAGAATATCAATATTTTAGGATGTATTTCATTCCAATCTGGTTTCGCTGGTCCACCCAGAACTCTTTCGTTGTTTCTCCCAGGCTGTCTGTAAATACATTCTGAAGAAATCCAAACTTATTTCAACATTCACCTGAGTGAAACATGAATACTTCTTAACAAAATAGACCTGATTCTGCATGTTCACTGGGTGGCATTAATATATGTCTGTAATCACGAAAGAGCTCGAGTTAATTGGAACTCTCGCGGTCCTTCGGCAGTGCTCGCCGGCTTTGAGGGAGTGACCGCCTGTGTCCGTTAAACGTCATCTGTATGGGAAATTAACGCTGCAGGTGCTGGGGGTCACAGAGGCAGCATCCTCATCCCCGGAAGGTTGGGAATATGTTCGGGAACACAGAAATTTCAGGGTTTAACCTGGGGCTTTGGCCGGGTTCACCTGAAGAATTAGGAGTCTGGTCTTCTCGCCGACAAAAGTCATACAACATGCTATACGTCCATCCCAAATACTAAACAGCAAAGACATGTTTGTGTGTATGAGCTGTTTGTTTGTTTTGTACTTAGGCCGGCTTGAAAAAAATACACCAGCACCCACTTAACCTCAGATGATCATTTCAAATAGCTATTAACTAATGCCTTTGGTGGTTTTTAAAATAGAAGTCTTTTGACAAAAATCAACTGCTATACTTTGTTATCCCCCATAACAGGAACAAGGATTGAGTCTCTATTTTCATGTAATACATGGCCAAGAATAGGTGTTTACTAAATGCAATTTCACTTATTTATATGCTTTAAATAATTATACCACCATCATAACAATCTTCACAAAATATAGTATTGTGTGTATACTTTTACACATTCATCACTACAAGAACATTACGTGATAGTGTGATAAAAAATTCCCACCAACAGAGGAAAACAGTTGAAAAATACACACAAAATCTGGTGTTCTATAATATACTCATCACTGTGCAGGAAGTCAACATCCAGTCCTCTAAATAATTATCAGTCCACCCCATCCCGCTAAAGTGGGTTTCTATCAATACTGAGGTTATCTTGGCTTGGCCTCGGCTGACCCTGAGTGGGCAAGAAAGACTAGCCAGGGCACACCTAATGGCTACGTGCCGTCAAGCAGCTGTGGGAAGGACAAGTGTACTCAAGCAGCGGAATCAATCACCGGACTCATTGACCCGGCAGCCTCCCACCCCTCCCACGAGCTCCCCAGGCTTACAACTTGCCAGCGCCCTCCCTTTCTCTGATTCAAACTCACCCGCATCACCTTCAAGGGGCCGTGCACCTGCTCACACTACACTTCCCTCCTGGCCCCTTGCAAGTGGGCAGCTGCAACTTAAAAGAGAATGTTTCCAAGATAAAACCTTCCCTCGTCACACCACAGACACACACATGCTTCTGCACACACATGCAGGCATGCACATGCACACAGGCATGTGTGCCCTTGCTGCACACACATGCCTGCACACACTCTCATGCACTGCTGAGATTCCACTGGGGTCGAGGCTGTGGACAGACCTCCCCTCTGCTCATGGTTCCTAGCCCCCTCCTCTCCGCCCGCACCACCCCAAGCCCTTTCTCGCCGGCCAAGGACTCTGCCGCCCGCACTCGGAGGCCCGTGGCCGCTGCCTCCCCTCTCTCCGGCTTGGAAGCGGCAGGCTCCCACCAGGGCTCTGTTGGCCAGCCCCGTACTGTACTTCATTAGGCAGCTCTATTTAATGGTTTCAACAAAAGCCATCATTTTAGCCCAACTGCCTTGACTAAATTAAAATTTCCAATCTCTGTTTTAGTGTTCTGCAACTGATGTATACATAAGCAAAACGGGTCAACATCTGCCAGGGGGCTGGCCGAAAGTTCTGTAAAGATGTACTTCACATTTCTGAAGCATGTGCAAAGTAACAGCGTCCTTATCCTCCCGAGAGCTCTCACGGTTTTACTTCACCATTTGTTCAAACACACTTTCGCTGCGTAGAAGCCATCCAGTTCATTCTCCCCTTGGTTGCCGTTTTATCTGTAGTGTCATTTTGAGTAATTGGGGTATGGTAGCTGATCAACTTACAGGTTTCTCATTGGCAGGAAGGGACCATATTGGCACCAAGAAAGAATATGATGGGTCCTCTCGGTGCATGAGCAAGTGTCCCTCTCTTGCTCTTGGCTACCCAAGGCCGTTAGGAAATAAGCTTATGAGAGGCTCCAAGTGTATATGTCTTCCGTCTTCCCGGGCCGAGGGAGGCACCTATAGAAGCAACAGAGCAAACCAATGTGGAAAGACGGTCAATGTACATATTTAGTCAGTGATCTGTGAAAGTTTTTGAATTAGTTTTTAAAGCTTTGTTAAGACCAGAACGCACAGATGTTGAAAACAAGTTCAGATGTAGCGACAGATGGTATTTGATTATGAAGCAGACTGTTCATATAATACAAAGATGCTGCTTCTGCCATACACAAGTAACTGCAGAGAGTGCAGTAGAAATTTTGGAAGGCAGGCCATTTGAGAGGGTCTTTGTGCAGCAATAACTTTCCCATTTTCCAGCAGTGCTAGAATTGGGATAATTTTTTCCCTTTTCTTTTCAATCAGGGCCTCTCTCTGCTCTTCCAAGCCCCACCTCCCTTTCCAGCCTCATTTCCTCCGGCCTAAAAAACTCCCCTCTCCACTCGGCGGGTCACGTCTTTCCCAACAATGGTGTCAATCAGCAGGTGCGTGGCCTCATCAGAGGCAGGCCTGTGCCCAAAGTTAGGGGCGAATAGGCAGCGATTGCCAATGTCCCCGTAGTCTAAGGAAAAAGTCTTCTTCAAGGAGAAAGGCTTCTCATTGTTTGTGCTTTGCAATGAGAACTCAGTCTTGAAAGAGAAGGCAGGACTGTGGCTTTTGACGTGCCGCCACACATGTGCTGAGGTTGCTGGCCTGGCGCGAGCACGCTGGAGATGCAGCTGCCCCTCCTGTAAAAAGTGGGGGGAGCATCCACCCTCCTTGCCTCTCCGGGGTGCCGAGAAAATCCTACAGGATGCCGGATTAGGAAGTGTCTCGAAAAGTACAAAGTGCTGTTCACATGCATGCGGTTGCTATGGTCAAGGTCAGAATGAGAGAGCGTGGGTGTCTTAGGTCGAAAGGAGAAATCTCTCTGTACCTCGGGAGCTCTGAATTAGAAATCTGCTCTCTTTCTTCCGTGTAGGTCCTAGACCGGTGCTCTGGTGTCAGAGGATGTGCTTGTTAAACGACGAGAGGCCAGCGGAACACCTGGCTGGAGGAATATGCCCACCCCTTGCCCCTGCCCCACAGATGGTTATTTTCCTTTTATGAACCAGGGACTTTTGTGGATCAGTGACTTAGAGATCGTGGTGCCATCAGGTCCTGGCCAATAACAGGGTTTCTCAGTGAGTTTCTGAGTGTAGTGCCACGATGCAGACATGCTGAGAGAAGAAGAATGTGGATTCAACAGCCTCCACTCCAGCCTTCTTCAGGATCCAAGCTCTCAAGTCTAGGTGAGCTACCAGGCCTCCTCTCCAAAGCTTCCTGTGGCTCGATTACTTTTCTTCCTCAACACCCTGTGCCCTCGTGTGTGTTACGGTGCACACGTGGGTGAGAGAGGGGGGAGGGGTGGGGGCGAGGGCAGCCTCAGCGCTCCCATTCCTGCCCAGACTGACTCACAAGCCCACTGTCTGTCCCCGCGATCCAAGACTCTTGTTTTGAAGAGCTTACTATGTGTGAAATCATATTTAACAAACACAGATGAGCCAGAGGAGATGAGGGAAAGTGCCAGCGTGCCAAGATGGTTTGGAGGAGATTTTGAGAGTGTTTCGGTGGGGAAGGGGTGTGGGTAGGATAGTTGCGGATGGGCTCAGCTTGGGAGTGGACGAGGGAGACAGAGAGGACTTTTTAGGTGTCTTCCTGGGGCAGAAGGCTATCCTGTGACGTTCTATATGCTGCCCCAACAAAACCCTTCTTTTTGTTAATTTTATTGGGTTACTGATCGAAAAGATCGACCCAGTTTAATTGAGGGTAAACCTGGTAACGATGCTAAGTTATCATAAGTGTCTGAGGTTTGATTAGACAATAAGGAAACAAAGCTAGATTCTCTCTTCAATTTGCACGTGAAGGTTAAAGCCCACTCTGTCTTTGTTGCAGACAGGACTGGTGACATAATTGGTGGGTCTCTGTCCAAGATGAAAATGTGTGGCCCTTTGTTTAAAAATGACGATGAGTTTCACGAGGGAGACAGCAGAGCTGTAAAGCAAATACGGGCTCTCCTAAGCGTGGGACCGAGTGACTGCACAGGGCTCCGACGTACCCGATTGGCCCTGATTTGCATACGATGGACAGAGAACCAAACTTCTCTGGCCACCTCCCATCCAGCACCTCTGCCACACTTGGGAGACTGCTGTGGTTGGAGTCTCAATTTTCTGAACTGCGATACATTAACCGGTTACCAAGAGCAAGGGGGACAGTGGATGGCAGTGACCACAGATGTGTCAAAGAAAACAGAGTGGGCAAGAGAGCAGGCTGGACAAGGATTCAGAAGTCCTGGGTTTACTCTCAAATCCCGTCACGCATCAGATTTATGAACTTAACCACCGGCGAGGAATAACCGGGCCTTCCTGCTGCAACAGTCTCCCTGGTAGATGTGAGCTCCAGGGGTGATGATAGAGTGTCAGCGTGAAAGCGCGGAGTGCTGGCAAGGCAGTGGGCACTGCAGGGCGGTGGGGGGTGAGCTGATGAACTAACCTTCCAGTCAAGATCGGTGGTGCATAGCCCTGGCTGGCGTAGCTCAGTGGATTGAGCGCGGGCTGTGAACCAAAGTGTTGCAAGTTCGAGTCCCAGTCAGGGTACGTGCCTGGGGTGCAGGCCATGGCCCCCAGCAACCGCACATTGATGTTTCTTTCTCTCTCTCTTTCTTCCTCCCTTCCCTCTCTAAAAAATAAATAAAAATCTTTAAAAAAAAAGATTGGAGGGGCAGCCTCTGTGCTCAGCCCTGCAGTGGGTGCATAGTTACCGCAGTGATCACTGGGGAGACACTGGCGCTTGGAACAGGGCAGATGGATCCTCTCTCTGAGTGTTCCGCTGGGTGTTCCCCATTCCCCAGACGCTCTAGGCGAAGGCCTGCAAGCCCGCAGGAGCTACATAACCACTGGTGAACGTTCACGTGGCCAGGGAAACCAGCTCTGAAAGAAGCTCTGTTAACCCATGAAAAATACAAATAGCAGTGAACTTGGGCAGAAAGAGTACCTGTGTGTACTGGAGAATTGATGCCGTTGGATTAGAGAGCTCCATTAAGACACACACTTCATAATGCAGAGCTGAGGGGTTAGAGGGGTGTTTGGCCCTGGCTTGGGCTGTGCTCCCTGTCCTTCCTCTGACAGCTGTTTGTGATGATGGCTAATCACGCTTCACACCCCCTCCTTACCCCACACCACCATCACTCCTACAATGAGGGCCAGAATCTCCAAAGGAAGTGTTTCCATCACCTTAGCTGGGACCACCTCAGAAGAAAGGACATGGAAACAGCTTAACTTTCCCAAGTGGGCCTGATTTGTGTGTCCTGCGTTTGGGTAAATTGCTCCCATTAAAGTGACAGCACCCAGCTAGTCCACGCCAAGACTCCTGCCCATGAAACCATGAGACAATGAATTTGTGTTGCTTTAAGCCACTACATGTGTGACAATTTGTAATGCAGCCAAAGAAAACTAATACATATTGCAATATTTTATTATCATATAGTAAGAACTCCCCCTTTGGGGTGTCCACTGTGTGCTTGACTTTGTACTAGGGTACACGTTCTCTTAATTCTCGCTACAACCTGGTAATGGAGGTAGTTTAAGGACTAATTTAAAGATGAAGAACTTGAGGTTCAAGTAACTTATTTGAGAGCACAGAATAAGAGATAGGTTGAGGGATCTGAACCCAACTCTGTCTTATTTAGAGACCATGCTAAGGATGAGGGTGACTTTCCTTCATTATAATTTCTTCCTCTCTTTCCCAGATCCCTTCCAGTCCATTGCCTTCCTGGTCTGGTACCATGTCCAGATCCTGCTGCATGCTTGAGTGTCCCCCTCTCTACTCTCATTTCCGCAAAGTGCTGGGGAGCCCTAGCCCATCTCCTGCCCCTGGGTGCCTAACCTGCCTTCAGAGACACACGCCTCCTGGGCTGAGACTCCCAGGGCTACAGGGGTTCCTCACAGGAGCAACAGCGTCCGGTGCCCACAGACCCCTGCTGGACACTGCCAGTGACATCGAAGTGTGTCCTCATTTTCTGTGGCTGGGTGACAACTTCCCACAAATTTCGTGGCACAGTGGACAACAACATGGCACATGTGGCAGGTAACAGAAGGCTTTTGAGTCCGGTATATTTGGATCTAACTTTTGAATTTCTTGAGACTCCTACTTACCACCACTTAGCCTCGAACTTGCATGTAGAAGACACTTACTAAAGTTTGCCAAAGACATAAGCGAAGTTAACAAAAATACTCAGGATGATGATGATGTCGGCAAAAAGGTGGAATAGATAGTAGCTTCAGGCCTCATCCTCCCGCAGAGGCACTGACTTAGCAATAATACGTGGTCCCAAAGCCTCCCTGAGAACTCCAGAGACAAGTTACCAAGTCGAACTCAAGGCCAAGAACAGTCGCATTAAAGCACCTCCATCCACTTGAAACTGAAAGTGTTGAAGACCTGGAGACTGTGCAATCGAGACAGGCAGCTGTGAGATGCTCTGCGTTGACCTGTGGTCTTTGGAAATGCTCCGCAAATCCAGCCAGATGCACAGAACTTGAAGCAAGCAGGCATCTCCAAAGACCTAAGGGCCCTGAGAGGCTAGGATGTAGCTGGTATCCTCAGTGATGCTCGAGGGACCTTGCAGGTGGACGATGCAGTAGCATGCCATGGTCCCCTAAGGTAAAACACAACACTGATGGCTTGGGGTCCCCTAGTCCAGAGAAATTTAGGACTTCTTTCAGTTTGTGCATTTCTATAGTGTGCAGAAACACAATTTCTTCCACAATTTGTTTCTCCTACTCATATTGGGGCAAAAATTATTAGGATTTTTTTCAGGAAAAATAACTGTATTATGAGTGTTTGCAATTTTTCTCCTCCCGCGTATTTCCAGCAGGGAATATATACTGCTTGTGGAGACAGCTCTCACGCTGTCCTTCATTGAGAAATCCAGGGGATGTGCATATGACAGAGAAGATGAAAGAAAGCTGAGTTTCATGGGCCAGGTAACACAGTGGTTAGAGCATAAGCTCTGGAGTCAGACAGGCAGGGTTCAAATCTTACTTTCACCACTTGCTTAGTTGGGTGACCTTGGGCTAATAGTTTCCAAGTCCCTGTCTTCATAAATGGGGTGTAATAATAGTATCTATCTTGCACAATGCTGGACATTAAATAAGCTGATAGACTTAAGTGGCTGGGACAGTGCCTGGCACCCTGTAATTCCACATAAGCATTTGTTGTTACGACTGTGACTGTTCCCAGAATGCAGTACTGTAGGAAATGTGAGGAGGTTGAGAAGGGAAAGTAGGGGCTGAGAGTTGGTGCAATGCAGGGAGTTGATGCTGATAAGTGGGAGATTTTAAAAGGAACTGAGATGGAGAAGGGGAAGATTTTAGATGTTTGTTGTGCTTGAAGATTTCACTTTGTCTCGTAGTAGTTTTATATGGAGATTGTGTCACGATTTGAAGTGCTTTGAATTGACTTATTGTTTCAAGAGTGAATTTCTTTAAATGGGCTATGGGGTGCATTAAACTTGAAATGTTCACTGGACACCTGGGTGGAAATGTTGAATAGACAATGGACGTAAGAATCGGGGGCATCACCCAGCTGGAGTTACACGTTGTCAGTACAGATGGTATCTCAAGACATGCAACTGGATAAGATCATTTAGAGGTTGTACTTAGTGGAAAGAAGTCTGACAACAGCTCCTTGGGTGCTTCTAGTCCTACTAGTTTCTTTCATAGCATCAAATGTCACCTTTAAAGATCTGGTCTTAGTTGTATCACCTATGGATTGCATCTTTTGGCTCCCAAGATGAGGGCCTTAATACCCCCACTTTCTCTTTACCAGTACCTCCTAATTTGGACCAACCATGCCCTGGTTTTATACTGCCATGGTTGATAGATAATGTTTACGTTCTTCTCTGTAACCACCTTTTAGTCATCCGCTACAGCCATCTATTGCTTCTCAATGGTAACCCAGAGTAAACCGCATTGACATCATTACAATGACACAAATGTGGACATTGCTAAGCCAAGCAGTGTCAGAAGTACATTTCCTTCTTCACTGGTTCTAGTCATTCATTCGAGAACTGGTGGCTGGCTCCCTGCCACAGCTCAGGCACTGTTTCAGGGTTAGCATCATATGCAAGAATGTCCTGCCCTCCTCGCCTTCCTGTACAGACCCCAGGTGACTGGGGGCAGGATGTTCCTAGAGCACATTCATTGGAGCACATCAATCTTCTCTTCATCTTCTCACCAGCCTGCGTGTCTGGTAT